TTGGATTTTGCTTTTTAATCCATTCTGCCAGTCTATTTCTTTTGAATAAAATTGAGGCCATTAACATTGATGTTTCTAACTGATATGTATTGACTTATCATTATCATGTTATTGTCCTGTTGTTGGCTCTTTTTAATCCCCCCCCTTTAGTTTCTAATGGATTTGCTCTGTTGGGCCTCCTGGACTTGTGACCTTCATTGTCTTTTTCAAGGATATTGTTTGGAATTGTTTGGAGTGCTGGTCTGGTATTCATGAAGTTTCTCAGGTTTGGTATTCATGAAGTTTCTCAGGTGTTCTTTGTCACGGAATTATCTTATTTCCCAATCAGTTATGAAGGAGAGTTTTGCAGGATACAACAGTCTAGATTGGAGGGTTTTTTCTTTTAGGGCTTGAAATACCTCACTCCACACTCTCCTTGACTTGAGGGTTTGTGTTGAAAAGTCTGCTGTGATTCTGATGGGCTTTCCTTTGCATGTGATTTGTTTCTTTTCTCTAACTGTTTGTCGTGTTTTGTTCTTCTGTTGGGTTTCTGGGATCTTGACATGCAGATTTTTTTTAAATCATGGCTAGTTGGAGTCCTATATGCCTCATTTATCTATCTGTACGTCAAATTCATTTGCTCTGTTTGGAAAGTTTTCTATCATTAATTCTGTGAGTAGTTTTTCTAATGTCACTTATACTTTCTCCTGCTTTTGTGGACTCCAACCAATCATATATTCTTCTTTCATCATCTAGGAGCTGTTGGATGGAATTCTCTTAGTTTTTTTTTGTTTGTTTGTTTTGGTACTGGGGATCAAACTCAGGACCTTGTGCTTGCAAGGCAGGTGGTAGAAGCACTGAGCTAAATCCCCAGCCTGATCCCTTACTTTTGTTTTTGTTTTTGTTTTTGTTTATTGAGACAGGATCTCACTATGTAGTGAGACTGACCTGGAACTTACTATGTAGCTCAGTCTGGTTTCGAACTCACAGCGATTCTCCTGCCTCAGCCTCCCAAGTGCTGGGATTACAGGTGCGCGCCACCATGCCCGGCTCCCTTACTATTTTTAAGTGATCTCTCTTTTCATGGTCACTGACCACCATCTTATCTTCTATATCTGATATTCTGCCTTCAGATTAGCTCAGTCTTCTGTGTATACTTCCAGTGGAGTTTTTAATCTCCTGGACTTCAAGTTTGAACCTGCTGCATGGTTTCCATTTTTTTCCTGTGCTGAGCATTCATGGCTTCCATCATGGTCCTGAACTCATCTGTTTTTTTATATGTTTCTCTTCTAGAGACTCTAATCATGTCTTTTATTCTGTTCACTGCAGTTATCTGGGAAATGTAATACTTTATTATAGAGATACACAGACATAAGGAGCAGTAATCATAAATGAATATCTTGGGAAATTTCACAAATGTATATATTTTATTGCTATTGCGCTTTCCTGTTGCATAAATATATTATCATGTGTTTATCTATTCTATTGTTAGGAACTAGTTTCTAGTGTTTACTATTAATACACCTACAGTGAATAATTCTGTGCACATATTTTGGTGACTGTTTCTGCATGTTTCTATTGAATATACATTTTGGAATGGAAATACTGGGTCTTAAAGTTTGAATATTTTTAGTTTTCAGATATACGACTAACTTTCATTCCTAAGTGTGTGTACTAGTTTACCTTCCCACTAGCCATGTATGAGAATTATACTTGCTTAGTGTTTCTACCAAACTTGGTATTGTCAATCTTTTTAATTTTAGCCATTCTGGTGGGTGTGCAGTGTTTTAAATTTCCTTTTCTCCATGACTAACAATGTTCAGCATATTCTTATATGCTTCTTGCCATTTAGATATACTCTTTTATAAAGTGCCTGTGAAAGCCTTTTGCCCATTCCTTTTTTTAATAGCAACTTTGAGATATAAATCACATGCTATCAATTTCACCCTATTAAACATACTGGGCTTTAGTATAATATAGTGTCCTGCACAATCATCATTTACTTTCAGAAGATTTTTGTTATCCAAAGAAAAACCCTATTCTCATGAATCAGTCCCTGGATCCCACTAATCTACTTTCAGTCTATCTAGATCTTCCTATTCTTGAAATTCATATGAATTAAACCATGTCATGTGTGGGCTTTTCTCACTAACTATGCCACTTAACATAACATTTTCCAGGCTCAACTATATTATAACACGTTTCAGTATTTCATTATTTTTTATCACTGAATAATACTCTATTAGGTGCCTATACTACCTTCTTTTTATTTATTCATTATTGATGATATTCGCATTGCTTCTTTTTTATGAATTTTGTACATTTTTGTATGTTTGTGTATGAGTATTTTACAGACATGCTCTTGATTCTTTTGGGTACATACCTAGGAGAAAAAATGCTGAATTATATGGCAACACTATATTTTATTTCTTTGCTACTATTTTTAGTTATTTTTAAGTAGTTGCTCTGAGGATTACAATTCACATATTAAAATAGTCTCACTTGGGCCGGGAATTTAGCTCAGTGGTTCCGCCGCCTGCCTTGTAAGTGCAAGGACCCAAGTTTGATCCCCGGTACCAAAAAAAAGAAAAAAAAAAAAAACTAGTCTCACTCTTATCAATACCAAATTAATTTTGAAAATATAGGAAAACATCCCAATTTAGCTCCATTTTCTCTCTCCTTTTTTGTTCTAATATTGTTAAACTATATTTTTATACATTGCAAGTCAATTAACAGTTCTATAATTATTGCTTTGTGTGGTTGTCTTTTAAATTATGTAGGAGTATAAAAGAGCTACAGACACAAGTCTGTATATATTGTCTTTTACAGTTTTCAGTTTCTTTATTGGTGCACTTTATTTCTTGGGTGTGGATTTGAGTTTATCTTGTGCTCTTTTATTTCAGCCTGAGTATTTCTTGCATGGCAGGTAATAGTGACAGGTTCTATCTTTTTGTTTATATTGGAATGTCTAAATTTCTACTTAATTTTTGAAGGATAGCTTTGCTTGGTATAAAATCCCTGGTTGATGACCATTTTCTTTTAGTACACCATTTCATTTCCATACAGCCTCCATAGTTTATGAAAAAAAAATCAACTGTCAGTATTACCAGGGATCCATTGCATGAGCTGAATCACTTTTCTCTTGCTGCTTTCAAGATTCTCTCTTTACCTCTGATTTTTATTGTGAAATGTCAGGGCTTGTATCTCTCTGTATTTGTTCTAGTTGGACTTTGTTAAGTGTCTTGTATGTATATAGATTAATAATTTTCATTTCACTTGAAAGGCTTCCAGCCATTTTGCCTCTCTGCCTCCTTACTTTTTCCACTCTCCTTCTGGAGCATCCTTTACTCATTAAGCACATATAATTCCAATAATAACAATTCTTAGACTCTCTTCATTTATCTTTGTACATTTTTATTTTCTGGATAATTTTAATAGATCTATCTCCAGTTGCCTTCTTTTTCTTACAGTACTGGGGGTTGAACTCTGAGCCCTCACATCGAGCCACATACCAGCCCCTCCTTGCCTTTTTCTTTCTATTTTGAGACGATGTCTCACTAAGTGATTACATTGCCTTGGCTGAGCTCAAACTTGCACTTCTTCTGCTTCAGCTTCTCAGCATGCTGTGATTACAAACATATGTCACTACTGGCTGCTTTCTTGACAACCCAGATTTTCTGCTGAGCCACTCTAGCAAAAATTTTCTTACCTTCCAACTCCAGAATTTCTATTTTATTCTTAATTATAATTTCTTTTTATTGGTATTTTATATTTGATGAAAAATAATTCTCAGTCCTTCCTTGTATTCTTAGGCATCATTTCATTTAATTCTTTGAACACGTATGATACCTGACTTAAGTCTTTGTTATGTGTAATATCTGGACTGCTTCAGTGACAGTTGCTATTGATTGCTGTTTTCCTCTTCTTCTCCTCCTCCTCCTCCTCCTCCTCCTCCTTCTTCTCTTCTTTACAAACCATTCTTTGTTTTTTGATTTTTTATAATTGTTGTTCAAAAATTGTATATTTCACATAATATCATGTGGAAATTCGGGAAGTCAGATCACCTCCCATCCTGTATGGGTTTGTCTTTATTGCAGGTGGTTATTTGTTTACTTAGTAACTTTCTTGGGGTAATTCTGTAAAGCCTGGACTCTCTGTTGTGCAACCACTGAAGTCTTTGCTGAGCTTGGTAATGGTTATGTAGTCATTTCCTTAAATGTCAAGAAGTGAGCAGCCTCTGTCAAGAGACTCTGGGTGTGTGCTACACTACAGTGCATGTTCACTGTTCCAGCAGTTTTCACATCTGCCTCAAGCCTTCCCTACCTAACTTCCCCAAGCCTCAGAGTAAGCCAAAGGTGAGAGATTAGAGCTTTTGCAAGATTTCCTACATGCACATGGCTTTCCAGACTCCCCAAAATAAGTCAGAGGCTTTCAAAGTGCCCCGAGTTGATCTCACTCTCATGCATTTCCTTTTAAGTCTTTTAATCAGCCTCCTGTGTGCTTCAATTTATCTGCCCACCCCAGACAGTGTTAAACAATTTCCCCTGATTGTTTTTGACAAACACCCTGAGAACAGACTGTTCACACAGAACAGGTTCTGAGAGATCAAATAGAGATAAACCCTGAGAACCGAGCTTTTCCAGGAGCAGCCAGACAGGTCAAAGAGTCTTAGTTCTCTGGGGAAGGAGCTTTTGGAGCAGCTCCAAACTTGCTCTGCGCCCTCCAGTAGCTGCTAAACTGCCTGTTCTCACAGTTGCCATGGTTACAAGATTATTAGTTTTCATGGCTACTGTAGGGCTGGGGAGAAGGAAATGGGGCAAGTTAAAATGTCACAGAGCTCCCTGTTCTCTGCATGATGCAGCTGTTTTTCAGATGACCCTTGGATTGTTACAAAGCTTTGGTTAATTTCCAGAATTCTGAAAAAGTTTATTTTTGACGACTTTTGTCAGTGTTCTTAACTGCTTTTATAGGAGTGGATTTTTAAAGGCGCTTACTCTCATTTCTGATGTGTTTCCATTCTGTATGTTTAATCTGACTTTCTGCCTTGTTGATTTTTAAGAGTTTTCTATGTACCTTTTTGATAGATTCTGTATGTATGTCTTTAGAAAAATATGTGCTTTGTGACGTTCTTCTCCTAGGTTGTAACCCACCGTCTCACTCCAGGGATCTAATCTTGTTCTTCAGTGCTCAGGTGAATGTTGTGTCACGTGAGGAAGAAACACAGCTTCACCCGCCAGGATCTGTGTGTAGGCTAAGCAGAGAGAGTCGGAAGGTGGGAATTCGTAGTCATTTTGTGCTACGCGGTATCACTAAGACTTCATATCATGTGGTTTTTATTCATATTACTGAAGGAATAGGTGAGTATACATTCATTGTAAAAAAATGAAGTAGAAATAGAGAAAATATGAAAATTTCCCTTTTCTACTCATAATATAGTCTCAGTTGTCTATATGTGGTTAATCCTTTTAAACTTTTCTGTGAATTTATACACATATTTACACACATGAACAGCTACATACATGCTTAGGTGGTGAAATATTTACAAATGGAGTTATTCTAGCTCTAGATGTTGTGATTTGATTTTCTATTCTCTAATTTTTAAAGGTTACACTGTATTCAATAGTAGCAGAGATATGTTTTGCTGAAAATAGAGATAATTCCAATTTTTCATGTAAAGAAACAATACTAGAGTGTCTTCGTGCATATATATTTCCAGATTTATTTATAAATATCTCTGAAGGTTTGAATCCTAGAAATAGAATCAGTTCTAGAGAGTAGCAAATTGCTTTCTAACTGTACTTTCACCAATGATTTATAGATATGTTTTCCCGCATCCTCAACAAAAAATTGAGATTAGTATTCTTTGTCATTTTGATGGTTGAATAGTTTAAAATCCATTTTAAGACTTTGATTTGTATTTGCTTGATTACTTGTGAGTTTGAGAATACTTTTTTCTATCCATTTTTATCTCCCCTTCCACGAATTGTTTGTTTATATCCTTCAGCTATTTTGAATGTTGTCTTATTGATTTATATTTTCTTTTTACGTGTTCTTGATACTAATCACTGTCCGTTAAATATACTGTAAATAGTCTTAGTATCATTGTTAATATTTTTTAAATTCTGCTTATACTGTCTTTATATATTAATTTATTAAAACAAATTAGCTGTTGAATAATTTAGTGCTTTTAGAGTTTTTGTCTTGTTTAGAAAGGCTTGCCTCAGTTCTAAAAATTATATTTATATTATAAAAATGCTTTCTAATGTTTCCTTCTACTAATTTTATAAATTTACTTTATAATTGTTTATCATTTTTACAGAATAATAATTTGCCTTCCAAAAGGTTTTATCATAAATCCATCTCTTGTAAATACATGAGTTTTGTACTTACTCTAGCTTTATTTTAAATGCATGCGACACCGTCCAGAAAACACTTAGAAATTGTCCACCCTTCATTTCAGACTCGAAATTCTACCTGTACCCAAACTAAATTCCATGTCTACAGTCCACCTCAGGCTTCCTTGAGCCCCAAAGACCTCTGTGTTTCTTCCTGTGACATTGTCTTATGGTTCTATGTACCATGGTTTTGTGGTTTGTTTTCCTGCCCCAGTCCTTTCTCTTTTATTTCTCAAAACTGTGTCAGTTATTCTTGTGTATTTTTCCCATTTGTGTGATTTTTAGAACTTAAGGTTTCTAACAAATATTCTGATGAGTTATTTTTAATGAGAATGGTAACCTTTTGAGAGTTACTTCATAAATCAATAAATCAGAAGTGGATTTAATGTCTTGGTTCTGTTAAATATTTCCATCCTAAATACATAAATACACAAACATACAAAAATCCCAAATACACAAATGAGCACATACGTATAGACATTGTCCTTTGACAATAGTCCCAATGACACAAGACTCTCATGAAAGAGGACTTTCGGTGGCTGAAAATGTGGTGGATATTTAAGTTTTTTAAAGAAACCTATTACAGTAAAAGACACATTGCCAGGAACAATAGGATAAGTGTGTTTGAAATCAGTTGAAGTATTTTCAGTACTCTGAGGAAAATGGCAATATATCTTTTCCTGTAATGATGTTTTAAAAATATTTACAATATGTTTTGATTACATCTCACTGATCAATGTTGAACAGTTGTGATCAAACAATTTCTGTCAAGTAAAAACATTATATTGTGCCTTCATCCACCTGACTCACTGGATCTGGCACCATATGATTCTGTCTCTTCCCCCAAGTCAAAATAACTATGAAACATAAATGTTTTAAACCAACTAAAAACAAAAAGGCACTCACAACAGCACAACTAAAGACCCTTATGAAAGAGGACTTTCAGAACTGCCTCAGAAAGTGACAAGAGCAGGGAGATAAGAGTGTTTCAAGCAAGAAGGAATATTTTAGTTGGATTAATGGCGATGCATCTTTTACTGTAATACATTTTTTTCAATTTAAACACTCACTGAATTATTTGATCATATTGGGTATTCTTCTTGACATGTATAATTTTTAAAGTTTTTTTCATGTAATTCTAATGTTCCTTATTAAGTATTTAAAACATAAGTTGCTAATTAAGGCATCATTTTATTCATTGCCTTTTCTAAAGGATAATTGTAAATGCCAATGGGAGGAAAGGAGCTAAAGGTGTAGGGAAGGTGTGATACGTAGGGGAAGAACAAAAAGGGAAAAGAAAAAAATGTGAGAGAATGAAAAGATGAAAATAAAGTGTTTGTAGATGGGGAGGGGAGGAGGGGGTGAAGGGAGGGCAAAGGTAAGGGGAAAAAATGAGAATCAAGACTTGCCATGTAAAGGTACATGATCCCAACAATGAATGTAACTGTACTGTATCCCTAAATGTACCAATAAACTCAATAAAAAAAAAAAATTGTAAATGCCATCCATTTTCAATGTTCTTATTTCCAACCACATTTGTTAATTCTAACACCTTACAGTTTTCCTGACCATGTACTGATTTTTTTCTTGATTTACTCCATTAATTGGAACCTTTACAAGTAATTTAATAATGACAGTGATAGTGGTTATCGTGTCTTTTTACCACTAATAGTGGAAATGGCATTTATTCCTTCACCTTCTGGTTTACTGTCAGATTTAAGGAAGTTCCCTTCTATGCTTAGTTTGAAAGAAAGTTTTTAGAGTTTTCAGTAATGAATAAATAAATAAGTCCCACATGTGTAAATACCAAATAGTTTCCCTGGTGTGAATATTCTGCAACAATGCATAAGATTCTAATAAGATTACTGACATTTAGAAATGGGAGGAAAGGAGCTAAAGGTGTAGGGAAGGTGTGATACGTAGGGGAAGAACAAAAAGGGAAAAGAAAAAAATGTGAGAGAATGAAAAGATGAAAATAAAGTGTTTGTAGATGGGGAGGGGAGGAGGGGGTGAAGGGAGGGCAGAGGTAAGGGGAAAAAAATGAGAATCAAGACTTGCCATGTAAAGGTACATGATCCCAACAATGAATGTAACTGTACTGTATCCCTAAATGTACCAATAAACTCAATAAAAAAATATATCAGGTAAAAAAAAAAAAAAAGATTCAATTTGGTCTCTCTTTTCATTTGTTAATGTAATGAATTAGGTTAACAGGAACCCAAGTGTTGAATTACCTTTCTATTCATGAGATGAAACCTCTTTGTTCATCATGTATTTTTTATGTACCACTAGAATTGATCTATTAATATTTTATTTATGTACTTGCACCATATTTTCAAGTTGGACTATAATTTCCCTTTCAGTGTCATGTCTGTTCTCTGGGTTATACTAGCTATATAGAGTAACTTAACATCTCCTTTTGAAAACAATTCTCTTCAACAGTTTAAAACAGTAATTATCTACTCCTTAAATATTTTATTAGTCCTATTATTGTAAGAGAAGATGTTGGTATTTAATTGGATTACATGAAAGATGTTGGAGTAGAAGCCAGCTACAAATCATAGCTTCTATAGGACTTGGAATTGAAATACCTGGAAAACAATTACTTAGCAAGGAGAAAGAGAAGAGCTTTGAGAATCAAGAAAGAACTGATGGGAAAACTCAGAATCATAGAGAAACAGAAGACAGCACATAGCGAAGAATGAAGCAGTCTGGAACACTAAGCTGGTTCCCAGGAAGGAGATGGCTCTCCAAATAAAAATTAAGCCTAAGAGGGTCAGCAGCCCCGGAGAGAATCAATGGATTGGCATCCCAGCCTCAGCAAAAACTCCTAGGTATTGTAAGCTGCAAATATAGTGTGGAGTTTTACACTGGAAGTGACTTCTTCTGAGGGGCAGGCTAGTGCTCACTGGCAGCACATTTACCGAGGGGCAGGCTAGATTTGAAGAAGAAATCTACTACAGCACCCACCATAACCAGGAGCCATTCTAAGAAAGAGTTTATTGCTCAAGACCGAGCTACTCTGGGAATCAGAAATCACAGACCAACCACACTTCAGTGTCTCTGTGGTCACCCTCCTCAGTGACTGGGTGGTAGTTGGCCAATAGAGATGTTACGGAGAGGGGAGGGCTCTTCAGAGATCCCTGTGAACCCTAAGGAGCTGAAAGCTCAGGCTGTGGCGGCTGCTATGGTCTTAGCCTCTGTGGTTAGAAACTAGCAAGTCACGTGTGGTTCCTGAGGGTGCTGGGTCTGAAAGCACTGGCAGAGACTAGTGGGATGTGTGGGCCCCCTCACTGCCTCCTAGCACAGAACTCAGCGGTCTGTTTACTTCCCCTACCCACCAGTGTGATCAGGCACAGGCCTCTGCTCGGACATTTGCCTTGTCCCTAGGTGTACAGAGGGCCTCTGGAGCAAGTGGGGTGCCTCAACAGCCCCCCTGCCATGACGCTAGTTGGGGATAGCCTGGTACACAAACCCTACAAGCCTCTGGAGTGAATAAAATCTTGAGGCAGACAACGTACCATTGACTGAACCTGCCCAGCAGGAAAGGCAGGACGGGACCCAGCACTCACACACCAAAAGGTGTGTGTGGGCCCTGCTTTGGACTCATTCTCCCTTCACCATATCTGGTAGAATCCAATACCACAGGGCCTGGAAAGAAACTATCCACCTGAGCACCTTGAAGTGGAGGAATTTTGGGAGCTCATTTCTCTTTCTCCTCCGCAATTCTTGATTCATGGGGCAACTCTATATTTAACATTTTGAGCATACGTCAGGATGTTTTCCAAAACAACTGTCATTTTACATTTTCACCAGCAGTGCACAGGGTTTCCAATTTCTCGTTCTGTGGGAAAGTTCCCTGACATTTTAATTCTTGCCATTGCAGCCAGTGTGAAATGTTCTCTCATAGTGGACTTCATTTGTATTTCTTGGATGACTAATGACGTCAACCATCTATTTTTTAGTAATTGTTTACTTTTAGTGACATTTTCAGAAAGAAAGGAAAGAAATGTATGACAGGAAAAAACATTTAAATATTTGAAAACATTGACATAGGATCCTTAAGACTCAACAGGCAGACTTCTACTTCCGTGATTCTTATTATGGTTAGTTAAAGCATTAAAGCAGTAAAGTGTCCATTGAATTTGCCGAGATTCCTTCCTATGTGTTGTTAGGGGTGAAGATCCAGGCAAATGACTCTCTAAAGTTGACCAAAACATAGAGCAAAACTCATTGCCAAAGCCTAAAGAACTCAATGCTTTCAGTCATCAATTGTGAAAGCTTTAACACAGGGATAACACGGGATGTAAAAGATGGATGGCCAGATACATAAGTGGAATTTTGCGTTTTAATTATTGTGTCAAAGACGAGGTACATCAACACATGTCCATAACTGTGAAGGCTGAGGAGTTGAATTGTTCAAACATTGCTCACCTTAGATGCTTGAAGAGGAAAGAAATGAAGCCAAGAGACTAGTGGTTAGAAAGCGAAAGGAATAACATTGCTTTATCTGTTTCTCTTTGTTTTCCATTAAGCTTTTTGGTACATTTTAGGTATACAATACAGTTACGTTCATCATTAGGATTTTGTACCTTTACATGATGATATCTGTTTCTGTATATGATTAAACATTTTTAGAATGAAAATCTGTAAAAAGTGTCAGATGTTGATTATCTCATGAAAAGAAGAGGGAGGAGCCAATAAGAAAGGCTGGCAAGGGTGGATCAGGCCATCAGGACTGGAATTAAGCTAGCAGGAAAAGCATTTCAGGAAGTGTAGTTCCTTTGAGCTTAGAACCTTGGGAGGAAATCTCTTTCTGTACAACAGGAAGAAGGAAGGAAAAGAGAGATGGACACAGTTTTTAAAAGGTTTTCTGATGCAAAGGATCCATGTGCTGGCTTCTAGGTCTACTGTGAATGGTGACCCAGGACATCTGCTGATCAAGTCGAGATGAGCCCAGTTTGAACAAAGTAGAGGTTTGAAATAGATGTGAGTAGCATGGGAGAGAGTAGAATAAAAAGTCAGTAACCTATGCTCCATAGGGTCACCTCTCTAAGGAGAGGGATGAGGGCCTGACCCAGCCCTGCAGATATTTGCTCCTGAAAGAGCCACTGTGTGTACACTTGAGTGAGGATCCACTAAGCTTTGTAGTGTCCTGATCAGGCTTAGGGATCCGCTGATGGTCACCCAGGGAAAAGGGGAAGCAGGACAGGGTCATGACATGGGAATCATAGGTCATAAGCTTATTTCCCCTAGCAAGGTCACTCTTCTCCCTCTTCATCTTTTTCTTGCTTCCACCTTTGACTCTAAGATGTCTTTTCTTCATCTCCATATTATTTCACCTTGGCTGTAGGTGGAGACTTCATCCATAAACCTACCACTGACTGCTCTGTGATCCTTTTACTGTCTGAAAATGTCATCAGCCCCAGCAGCGAGAAGATACAACCATGGAAGGAGATCGCTTGCCTTGTGCAATTTTCAAGTAGGGAAAGATCAATGCAAGATCAAAGTATGCATCGGAAACATGATACCAGCCGCCCTGACAGATTCTTACGCAGTGCCTATTGTCTTCCTAGGCTGCAGCACACCAAGCTATGCACAAACGGCAACAGTGTCCTCAAACGCTCCAGGACAAACTCACCCTCCCAGGTGACACTCCGTTCACTTGCAACATTTATTTCAAAATAACTGCCGCACTATTCTGAAAAATCATACTTGTCACTGATTCCCTTTTTAGATATGCAAGACCTACCTCCTTACAGTCCTAGAGGATCAGAAACAAGAAGGAAGAATTGTGGGCTGCCACACAATGCCACCAAGGACAACATGAAGTAGGTACAAAGGTTCACCTTCTCAGACGTCACCAGAAAGGGTTTGGAACATCCATTCTTTGACAAGAGCTCTCGGGAGTCTTCACGTTGTAGAACACGAAGAGGCCATCAGGAAGACTGGAAGTGGCTTCTCTTTTTGCATAAACATAATCCCTGGGTTACCTAACATGGGGAAGGGCAAGGGAAAGTGCTTTATCTGCTCTTTGGCACCAGTTTTAGGAGGTGATTATGTCTTCAGTGATAGGGTGGATGGAGGCTTTGCTCCCAAGACTCACCTCTAAGTTCCTGTTGTGAGGGTAATTAATGGCTGTAACCCTGCACCTCCACTACCATGCTCTCTTGCTTTTGATTCCTGGGGCCTCATTTTCTCTACAGACGGAGAGAGATTCATCTTTGCCCTTGTAGAAGTTTTTTTTTTTTCTTTGCCAGGTCTCCTGCACCTGGTCTGTGCTGATTTTTGAGTAGTACAGGAAGATTTGCAGCACTCAGGAGTCTGCCATGTTCCCTCTGGAGGTGCTCGGTAATAAGTTAGCATGTTCTTTTAAAATAAATTTTATTTTATTAATACATGCTTGAAATGTGTGCAGTTTACAGTCATCTGGGGAATAGTTATATGTACATATTACAGCTTCTTTCCTTCTTTTTAACCCCCTTCTCCTTCCCTCTTCCTACCCGCTCCGCTGGTTCTCCTGTCCCTTTTTGCATACTTGTTGATGTTATCTGTCTTAGCACCTTATAGCATAGAGTGCTTACAGTAATTGAAGTTACAGTTTCCTGTACAGTTTCCTTTATCCCTCTCATTTCTCTTTCCCCTCATCTACACCCCTCCCCCTTAGTCCCTTAGACCACTGCCCTATTGCAAGAGATCCATCCTCTTGTACCTTTCTATCCATCCTTTATCACTCTCTTTGTACTTGGCCTCACTCAAATGAGAGATATTATATGATATCTAAGCTTGTGTGTGGTTTATTTCACTCATCCTACAAATGTCTCCAATGTGTCATTCTTTGTAGCTGAGGAGTATTCCATTATATATAGATACCTTATTTTCTCTATCCAGTCATCTATTGATGGACATACAAGCTTCTTCCAGGACTTATCTATTATGAATCGTGCTGCTGTAAACACTGGAATGCATACACGTCGTAATATGATGACTTAAGCTCTTTGGGGAAGACACCTAGTGGAAGAGTACCTGGGTCATTTGGAATTTCGAATGTCAGTTATTTGAGAAATTTCCATATTGATTTCCACAATGGTGGTACTAGTTTGCATTTCCACCAACAGTCCAGGAGGGTTCTTTTTTCACCACAGCTTCACCAGCATTTGTTAGCACTTGATTTCTTAATGATTCCCATTCTTTCTGGAGTAAGATGGAATCTTAGCATTGTTTTAATTTGCATTTTTTCTAATGGCCAGAGACGCTGAACATTTTTTTCATATATTTTTTGACCATTTGTATTTCTTACTCTGTGAATTGTCTTCATTTTTCTTGCCCATTTCTGGAGTAGGTCTCTAATTTTAGGTGATTTAATTTGTTTTTTGTTTTTGTTTTAGTTCTTTGTATATTCTAGATATCAGTCCCTGTCTGTGGAATAGCTTGCAAAGTTTTTTCCCGTTCTGTAGGTGGTCTCTTTAACTGATTGACTCTTTTGCTATGCAGAAACTTTTCAGTCTGATATAATCCCAGTCATTGATTCTTACTATTATGTGTGTAATGAGGTTCTGTTTAGAGAATTGCTTCCTACACCCATGTCTTCAAGTATTTTGACTGTTTTGTCTTCCAGAAGGTATGTTAGTTTGCTCTTGGTGTCCTGAGTGACTTTCCAGGTCTGTCTCAGAGTCCAGAACATTATCTAGAGAGCCCTCTGGGTTATTTAAAAGATGATCTCTGAAGCCAGCTTCTGGACTGAGTGTTTGTCATTTCCCCACTACCTCCTCTAGAGGAAGCATCTCTGAGTTCTTCTCACAGGAGTTTCTGGCTTAGCACAATCCAAAATTCTTCAGATTTTTGTAGCTCTGATCTTTAAGCAAATAAGTCCATGAAAGTCCATAACTATCCCTTGACTCAGAGGTCCCAAGAATTTCTGAAAATTCATTAGTACTGGAGTCTTCTGGATCCTGCAAGGCAGACCTGACCAGTATTGGATTAGTTAGTTTTAAAGGTGGCCCCTTTGATTTTTCTAAAATTCACCGTCAAGCGAGGAAATCTCTAGGAAGGATGGAAACAAGAATATGGACCTTGGAGGACCAGTTGATGAATGAAAGTTTGGAAGCTGGAGAATAAAAGTCTTCTGAGATTTATGCACCACAAACATAACCATCACATGGGTTCTTGTTTTGGGAGCAATGTGTTACCTTCCAGGTGATGAATTTCACATGACATGAAGGACTGGGCCTCATTCCTAGGATACTGTGTTAACCAGCTGATATCCTCAAAGGTCATGGACTTGGGACCTCGTGGTAAGGAAAGGAAGCATCACACTTAGAATGTTTAGGAAACATACCTTTAAATGTTGCACCTTTCCTTCTTCTCTTGCCTCTAAGTTTATGCTCAGAATAAAAGGATTAAAGTGTACTAGGATTCACCTTTGCTACTCTTCTTTAAAGGAAACTCAAGACATGCATTACACGAGCAGAATGTGATTCTCCACTTAACTAGGAAGGATTTGTTCCTTCATCTTATTAAATGTTAAGAGTAATCAATTATCTTCACTATTTCCTTATTTGAAAAGCTCAAGGGAAGATTTTATCTGTGAGATCCACACTGATGTCCTCAGTCAGAAGTCCACTGCTCCAGGAGGGAACGGAATGTGGAGGGGAGAGAACATTCATGCCTTTGCTCCTTGAGGACCCTGTGTTCTGGGGGCGGAGCACAGGCTGGAGGCTCTGCTCAGAAGCTCTCAGAGGGCAGCACTGCTCTCCTGATCAGCCCAGAAGGAAAGTAAACTTGGTGAAGGATGCCTTACATGACAATGGGACTCCTGGTCAAGGGTCAAGAATGATTGCTCTTCTTCAGAGAAAACTGAATGAAGCCAACTGGACCAGGGAAGACCTGTTGGACACTGTATCCTGGAACTCTTGACCACACCAGAGAGGTAGTGTGCGAGCTCCAAGTGGGAAGCTCTCCTCCCTCATCCCCTTCCCCTGCCTGGACTCTTCTCCTAAAGAGTGAGGCTCCATCTTCTTCTCAGACTTCTCACCTCAGGAGTCTCCTGAGCTAACCAAACCCACTCAGTAATATGAGAACTGAACTGGGGCATGACCACAGGGGATCCATCTTGGGGATTTGCCCACATTTCCTTATCTGTTGGAGCCCTTACTCTTCCACAGTGTTGGTTAAAAAAAAAAAAAAAAA